CAGGGCCCCGCGGCTGCTCGCGCCCCTAGCCGCGCTCGCCTCGTGCAGCCCGCTCGGCCCCGGCCTGGCAACCGCTGGTGTGCGCCCCGACGGCGCCGGGAGCAGAGGAGCCGCGCTCGGGTCTCCGGGATGTGCCCGTCTGAGATGGGGACGCCGTGGCACCACTGGTCCCCCGTGCTCATCAGCCTGGCCGCCCTGTTCTCCAAAGGTGAGGGACGCCGCCGCCACCTCTGGCCCGGGACTAACTTTGGCGCGAGTGAGGGTGTGGGGGTGTGCGTGGCTGGGGTGGCTGGGACGGAGGGCGTGGGTGCTGTGTGCGCGTGTGGACGCGCGCGGGCGGCCCCTTTGCAGCAGGTGCCTCCGCGGAGGACTTGGCGGGGAGGCCCTGGGAGACACTGCCAAGGGACACGAGGAAAAATAGCCCTGAATTAGGGGAGGGGGGCCGTGGAGAACCTGGGAAGGAGAGGTGGGCTCCGGGAGGGCTGGGCTACAGGTCCGCGGAGGGGGCTTGGAAGGACCTGGCAGGGCCGTGGAGTGTGCGCTTGGCTTTCCCTGCCGGCGCCGATTTTCAGAGCAGTCCCGTGTATGGGAATGTATTCAGTGCCGGGGAGGAGGCTGCAAACAGGGCCCGGCGCTTAGCTCGGAGCCTGACCCCGGTTCCCCTAAGGCAGCCCTGAGGGCTTTTCTGCGCAGGTTCTCCCCTCCCGCCGTCCCCTGTCTGCTAGTCCGCCCCTGCTCCCGCACGGTTCCAAGCGGAGTTTCAACCCTAACTTGTCACCTGAGTTGTGCCAGCACGGCCCTGACCCGAAGCTGTGAGCAGAGGCATTCCTGGTGCGCCTCCCTCCCCGTCAGTCGGCACCCCAGCCTGTCACTGGCCCAGCCGAGCTGGAAGCTCAGGACGCTGATTCCTTGAAGAGAGATTATGTGATTCACGCAGGAGATGGTAGAAAGTACCAGCAATTCTTTCTCCTTATTGATCCGGACTCTGTGTGCGGTTCCCTCTGCGCGCCTCCTTTCCTACAAGGCAATCTGTGAGGAGGAAAGTGGAGATTCTTACCGGGCTCCGGTGTGTGCCCCCAGATCCCTGTAAACAGATTTCTCTGATGAGATTTTGGGGATGAGATCTCTCTCAGAAACGTCAAAGCCACTTGTCATGCACAACAGAGTCTTTTAATTACAGGATTTTTTTTTTGTGAGTTCTTCCAGAATCACTGGGGTCTGATACTTGAGGAAGACCTTTCACTTGCTGGGGTTTGTGCTGCTGTGGATTGAGGGAGGGGAAGCTTGCTCACCCTGCCCGCTGTCTTCTGGAGCGCTGGGCTAGTGGGTTCACCTCTCCTAATTAGGAGGAGCAATCCCGAGGACCAGAGCCTCCAGGATTTATGATGTGCACAAGAAACCAAAGAAAAGGTTGATGAATTCAGTGAATCCGAGGCAGGCAGACGTGAGGTTAAAAAAAAAAACCCTAATCCTCAGCAACAGCAGTCCAGCAGACTTGCATATCTGCTGCAAGGCATGCTTTTTATTGGTTGTCCCCTGATTTTCTAACAGGAACAGGCTTCTCTGTTTTTATGCTGCAATAACAAGGTTTTATTAAGAAAGCTACAGAATAGCTTGGTAAATATGACCTAACTATCGTGTCTCCTCGGGTATGTGCATCGTTCTGTTACTGATTTCTTTATTAGGCTGAGGAAAACTGTTATTACTCCTGATGCCTTTGAACTTTTTCAAGTGGAAACCCTGGAAATGTCTTTAAAGCGGGGCCTCTGTGATGTGGAGGTCTCAGCTCATCTGTGATGCTACCAGCCCAGCGTGTGACATATTTTGTGTGTTGAATGTAGAGACCCTAACTCAGCCACGCTGTTGAGAAGTGACTCGGTTGTGTGTGGATTTTCGGACAGAGCGAGCGCGGTGCTGAGGCAGGGTCTGTTCCGAGATCCTTCACACTATACCCAGGACAAGAAAATGTTTGACCCCTCTAATGCCATCGTGCTGTATAGAACCTCCTGGTGCAGATGTGATTTCTAAATGCAGGGATGGTTCGTTCTGTTTCCCCTGTGTTTGCATCACTTTTCCCTCTAAGATTCTCTGACCGCCCCCCCCCCCCGCCGCCAAAAGTTTTAGACCAGCTTGACATCAAATCTGGACTATATTTAAAAGGATTTTAATTGGGGGCCAACATACGCATACACATGCACATAATCCAAAGTGCCTAGTTGGTCTGGGGCTGATGGAAAAATGATTTCCAAGTATTAAATGTCTGCTTCAGCATCTTACTGTCTTTATCGTATGGCCTTCATTCTTTCCAAATAGGAAACCTTGAATGAACAGAAATGCACATTTTAATTCCAGGCTGATTTCCTTGAACCTCACATATGTTTACGTTTCATGAGCAGGAAGTGATTGGTCGCAGACCAAACCCACTCTTACACAGATCTTTTGAAAAACAAATAAAAAGAAATCTTCATTGCTTGTACTTCTACCGGCAGGGACCTAGAGATGATATTATGCAATCAGAAAGTTCCCAGCAACGTTGTCCTGTGGTCCCAACCTTTTCCGGAGAACAGCCTTAATGTGGAGCTGCCGGAGAGCTTGTGGCTTGTGTCTCCGTGTAGGGTCTAGTCTTGTGGGGAACTTTAATTTTTAAAATTTTTAAAAATGTTTTATTTATCGGAGAGAGTGAGGAGAGAGAGAGCACAAGCAGGGGGAGCAAGCAGAGGGAGAAGCAGGCTTCCGCGGAGCAGGGAGCCCGACGCGGGGCTCGATCCCAGGACCCTGGGATCATGACCTGAGCCGAAGGCAGACGCTTCACTGACTGAGCCACCCAGGCACCTCTCTTGTTGGGAACTTGATGTGAACCAGAACCGGGCCAGCCTGCAGATGTGTTTTTATGCATCGCTGTTCGTTTTGAGGGAGGGACAGGAGTACGGGAAGTAGGGGCTGAGGAGACAAATGGGTAAGAACTGGACGGGGGCAGAGAGCAGGCGGTTTTCATGCACAAGATTAAGAAGGTTGCCACGCTTAGGCTGCTTGTCATGACCTTCACCTGCATCCTGCAGAGTTAGTTTGTTCTCCTACAAAGGCCAGTGAGGAGTGGACACTCAGAGCCCCGGGGAATCCTGGGAGAGGACCTGTTGCCCCTGTCTCACACCTGCCTCACGGACCCTGCCTCAGGGTTGTGCGGGCCAGGTGCTCTGCCTGCGCCCGGCAGAAGGTGGCGAGCATTCTGAGCAGTGGCTTTTTCAGCGTATCTTCCTGCAGAGTGTTTCTGTGTGTCTGGCTTGCATCTTAGGCCAGAAGGGAAGCATCAGGTGGCAGAGTACCACCTCTGTTGAGGGTATGTCCAGGAAAAGTCCAGTACAGCCCTGGACTAGAAGGAGCTTGGGTTTACGGTGACACCTTTTCCAGGCTTTCAGGGGAGGAAGAAATATCTAGGAGGGAGCTCACTGGTGTGTATGTGAGAGACAGAGAGAGACAGAGACAGTGAGACTTCATTGCTTGCATTTAAACAGTGTCACCATTAAAGACCAGGGAACAGGGGGATCATTAACTTTCATTTTCTCTGAATAAAGTTAAGTAACAAATACAATTTCATAAAAAATTCTTATATTTTTTTATGAAAGGTAGAATTCCAAGTATGAGGATCTGTTTAATTTAGTTCCATTCTGAAAGCCAAGAAAAAATGAAAAACAAATCAAAACTCCAAAAATACCCGATTGCAGAAGCTTATACTACCTATATTTGTCTCGTCTATCCATTTATCTACTCACCCTTTTATTCAACCAGTCATCATTCATCCATCCTTTTGTTCATCAGTCTGTCCGTCCATCCATCCATCCACCCACCCCCCATCTGCCCATCTACCCATCGATCCATCCTTCTATCCATCCATCTATCCATCCACCCCCTATCCATCCATTCATCCATCCTTCTACCCATCCCTCCATCTATCCATCCACCTCCATCCATCCACCCACCCCCCCATCTGCCCATCCTTCTACCCATCCGTCCATCCTTCTATCTATCCACCCCCATCCATCCATCCACCCATCCATCCTTCTACCCATCCATCTATCCATCCATCCATCCACCCCCTATCCATCCATATATCCATCCATCCTTCCATTCATCCATCCATCCACAAATTACCACAGACCTGGTGGCTTAAAATCAACAGAGATTTATTCTCACAGTTCTGGAGGACAGATGTCCAAAATCAGTCTCCCTGGGCCAAAATCAAGGTGTCAGCAGAAGGCTCCAAGGGAGAATCGTGTCTTCCCTCTTCCAGCTTCTGGTGGCTGGCTGCCTGCAGACCTTGCATCCCGGCAGGATCACTACCATCCTGCAGGCTGGTGGCTTCCCGCCTCTCTGCTCTGTCCTCGCATCATCATCTGCTCTCCCACCACCTCCCTTTAGAAGTCTCCTCTTGCACTGAGGGACCACCAGAACAATCCACATCGTCTCCCATCTTAACTCAATCACATCTGCAAAGATCCCTCTCTCCCTTTCCCCCCAAATAAGGTGATATTCAGAGGTTCAAGGGATTTGGACATAGGTATGTTTTGTGTGTCTTTTCCAACCTTTTATAGGGGTGACATCCTAAAACTATATTCTGCCTCCTGTTCTGAGTTTTAAGTTCCTCTAGGGGCCATGCTGTGTATTTTCCTATCTGGCTTCGATTTCTCTCCAGTACGTGTAGTATGCTTCTTTGGACATTGCAAGGGCTCAATCAATTTTTGAGTACGCTTAAGACTGTGGAATACCGCTAAAAGAACCTCTGCCCAATGGTAAAATGACTTGATGCTGTTTTTCCTCCTGGTTAACCAAGGTGCTGTAGGAAATACTTTGGTCAATCATAGTAACAGCTAACTTCTTGAGTAGTTATTGTATGCAAGCCACTGCGCTGAGTGATTTATGAAAATGATTTTGGGGGGAATTTTCAGATAAACCTAACTGGGTAGAGTTTGTTATTAGGCCCATCTTACGGATGCAGAAAGTGAGGCTCAGAGAGTAAGTAACTTGTCCGAGATCTCACAACCAGAAAGTGGCAGCGTCTGAATTCTGATTAGCCCACACCGCCAGCCCACCTCCATTCTGCCTGTGGTTATATGTCATCACTAAACACGAACCCGTTCCTCTGTGGTGCCACCTTGTGGTCGGTTCAATGCACAGAGGCTTCCATTGGAGTTTTGGCTCAGAGCCTAGGGT